TCATAACATAACCTTTTACTATAGCTCTGAACTCATTTGCTCTTATAACGGCAAGGTCTTTGGATAAAAATAATAGTAACAGAATTCATAAAAAAAATGACTGAAAGTGATAATTTGTTAAAGCTTTTAATACGGGTTTTTTTATTAGAGAACATAGTTAATCTAAAATATCACTTGGTTAAATTATCTTATATCTTGCCACTCCTAAACTATATTATTTCAGCAAAAAGACCAACAGTTTTTTGAGGGAGGGAAGAGGATAGAGAGACAGGATGGTTTGGGAGAAGAAAGGGAAAGTTGTAGGAGAAATGAAATATTGGTATATTTAAAAATCAATATATACATATTTTAAGTAAACACTAACGGAATTTATTGAAAAATTTCCTTGATGATCCCTTCATGTAATAACATAGTTCAAATTAAATATGGCAACTAGAGAGTATGATATTTAAGTATAAGAAAAAAATTCACTTAAAGTGGAAGCTCTAAAATCAATACTACTAGGTACAGGATAGTGTATATAGCATATAGTAAGTTTTCATTTGTATTTTTAAAAAGAATATATGTATATATACATATGCTTGTATCTGCAGAGTAATTCTAGAAAGATACATAAGACACTGGAAACATCAGTTGCTACTTTTCACTGTCTAATCTGCAGCTTTTAAATTTTGTACTATGTGCATGTTTTCCCTACACAGTGATTAAGAAACTAAAATTTAAAGGATTTTAAAAATCATGTCAAATTAAGAAAAAAGATTTTTTGACATTAGACAAGAAAATACACTAATACATATATTGTTTTTCTATGATTCACCTACATAAATTTGGGTATATTTAGTTTATAACAGAGTAACTGTAATCTAAAAATCCACATGACATTAGATTGGGGGAAAAATTTTTTTCCTTGTACCTCTTTGCTACAGCATTGTGGATTACGAATTGAGACAGCATGCTAATATCATTATGTTTCTCCTCTGATGGGCTAGCCATTAGTCACCATTTCTCTATGAAATTCAAGAAATCCTTAAGGAAACTCAAAAAAGATTTTAAGACTCTTGTTTGGCAGCAATAAATATTACACCAGTTTATTCTGTAGGCATAGAATCAATTTTAACCTCTCTTTGTGGTTTACTTTAGATTTTATCCTGCCTAAGACATTTGGTGTTTTGGTACAGACAGATTTGAAAATACATGGTGACTAAGGAAAGCACTTATAGAAAGGTTGGAATAGGGTTTCATGAATGGTTCCAATGAAAGACATTTGGAAATAAGCAGGAAAAAAAAAAAAAAATCCCACACTTATTTTCAGAAACCATGTAAAAATTTAAAATTAAGTCCTGCTCATTTAAAAATTGAAATAAACTAGAAAGTAAAGTTCAAAGAAATGATAATACATACATTAGCTTTCAATGGAAGCTGCTTATTAAAAATGATTATCTGAGGATGTATTCCAATCTCACCCTCTTCAAACTGTGCAGTTCAGATAAATGTTTATTTTACTGAAAATATTTGCAAAATTACAATATAAATACACGATTATATTAAGATGACTATATATAATGTATTCTTATCCATAGATATCAAATGATTGCAATAAATATAGCACATTCTTGATGAATTGTTAGTATACAATGTTTCTTAGTAAAGTACATACAACCTATTATTAAGCAACCATTATCTAGGTTTTTGAATGTACACCGTAGGAAGTTTAGGATGGAAGGATGCACTAAATCCCCCAATACCCTTTTTGGTTGGCAAAGATCAGTACATCTGCAATTCTGAAATAATTTCATATTTATTTTAGCAATTGTTCTTAGGCTCTTCACATCTCCTTAACTTGAAACTTTGTTTCTTTAGTCCGGGTATTTTCTTAATAAGGCCGTATCAGCTAACCATACTTTTAATTCTAGTACAGTATCATATACTATCTTTTCATTGGTTACTTAAATACATAGCAACAATGAAACAAAATCATTAAAAATATTTTTTGTCTGCACAAATTCCCAAAATCAACTTTCAGGGTATCATGGGGAGTCTCAACTATATATATAGTCTCAACTGCTATACTAACCTGGGCTGGAAATTGTTTTTTATTGGTTCTAGTTCTTTAAGAGTACAAATATGAACTCTACTTTAAAGTTCTTTGTTAAATGTACTGGAATTTGTTTCAAAAGCATCTTCTACCCTTCTCCATTACACCAATTTAATGGAAACCTGTTACCACAACAGTTCCAACACAAACATGCATGCAAAATATCACTCTACGTTTCTAACTACACAGTTATGGAAACACATCCCACCTGTGAAGTGGCATAAATATACATCTGTTATATACAAAAGGTAAAGTGCATTATTAAATTAGTGAACTGACAGATTGTCTGGCTGGACCATATAGCTTTCAACTAGACAAATGTGAAATTCTCCCATTAGAACCAATTATTTCAAGAGGTTCCAACTAGCTTTTCCACCCTGTCATTTATTTTTTGGCCATGCTCTTTAGTGCAAATAAGCTTGTGTTTGACTCAAGTTTAAGGGACATGGCAGTTTGGGGCTTTAACAAGAAAAACTATAAAATGTGGCAGAATTTTAATATCTTTATAATACACTGCATCTTTTGCATATAAGCAACAGATTAGTGCTGCTTGCAATTGCCGGAAGAACACTGCCAACTGTTACAAGGAACCCGTTTCCAAATTTCATACTATTAGCTTATATTATTACAGTTTTAAGTCTGTACCACATTATGCATGGATTATTATGTGCAAACATCGTCAGTGTTTTAGAATTATACAGGGAACTAGTAATTTTAGTTACTAACTTTAATGCTAAATTTTTTAACTTCTAACATCCAGTTGCCTTACGAGTTTAATGTCGTCAAGGCAGGGATCCTATTACTTTGACGAATACCATGTACACTTGCAGCTTATGTTACAAATGACAATAAATAAAATGTATATTGCACAGATAAGAATAGTAGCTTATTTTATAAGATACATGGCATTACATATCCTAATACCAGAGTTTTGAACTGGACCTTATTTATTAGATTATGGCTAATGAATTCTTGGGAATTTTAAGTATCAAACAATCATAGCATCATTTCATTTTTTCAATGAATTATACATGAACTATGGAAAATGAAACAAAAGGACTGGGAGATGGCTTATTGATTCTACAGTATATTTAACTGCCGGTATATATGCATCTATTCAATCTGTAGCTTTGAGATGGTAAAAGCTTTGAAGTATACATATAAGGTAGAAAATTTGGCTGTTTAACTAATTCTTTACTTAAATAAGTAATGAAAAAATTAAACAAATAATATTTATATACAATGAATTAAAGATATCTATCTTTAAGTCTGACATAGTATGTATGTGTATATATACATATATAAATACATATATATATGCATATGTATATCACACACACACTCAAATCTTATCAGACTAAAGATCCAAAAAGAAATCATTTAGACCAAATGGACATGACTATTTTAGAAAAGAAGATTTTAAGAGAGAGTATACAGTCATAGGAACAGTGACAGGAACAATCAAATACTGGAATATTCACAGTTCCAGTTTGCCGAAATCTGACAGATTGATTATTATTAGTAGGCACCGTGATGGGTAGCAATAACAATCAGTAGTACAGTAATTCAAGTGTTCACCACTCCTTCATATACCAAAAACGACTTTTTAGCAAGCCTACATAGTTATTTTACAGTTCGACTGTTCAAAAATCCTTGCTATTTTTTGTCTCAACACCCACCACGTGCTATTAACTCTAGTACTAACATTATCTTCTAACCTTCAGTTGTTCCACAGTGATCCAGATGGTCCACAATTACAATGAACTAATGAGATTCCTTCATACTATTTAAGGAAACATGAAATACAATCTGCACACCAACATATATGTCTGGATTACTGATTGTTCTCAAGTAACATACGCCAATGAAGTTAATTTTCTTAATTCATACCATAAAGGTTTCTTATTGACCTTACTTAAAGGGATTTGGGAATAAACCTCTGGAAGAAAAATATTGTTAAAATAATTTTGAATTACTGATCCCATAAACCATTGCCGTTGAGTTGATTCGGACTCCTAGCAACACTAGTAGGACAGGGTAGAGCTGCCTCATAAGGTTTCCAAAGCTGTAATCTTTACCACCACAGGAGAAAGACATGGCAGTCTGCTTCTGTAAAGATTTACAGCCTTGGAAACCCTATGAGGCAGTTTTACTCTGTCCTACAGGGTCTCTATGAGTCAGAATCAACTCCACGGCAATGGTTTTGGTTTGGTTTTGGAATCTTTACAGAAACAGACTGCCACATCTTTCTCCCACAGAGCAGCTGGTGGGTTTGAACTGCTGACCTTTTGGTTAGCAGCTGAGGAAGAGCTACATTCTGATCTCAATCCATGCAGCCAACTCTCATCAATGAGAGCTATATTTGGGGGTTGAAATCAGTGTCTGGCTCTTAAGCATGATAATAGGGGCTTATTATGTGGGAGATGAAGAAAGCCAAGATAAAAAGACAGTAATTTTCAATAGAGGGTAGGTTGGTTCACATATATCCACTTGTTTAAACAATTGCTTAGGTGTTGAAAAATTGCTGTGGCACTCCCTGGAAAGTAATGTTTACTACAGGTAAATGGGTGAGTCTTGTGTAAAGTAAACCTCTTTACATATTATAAAGAGCACCTTGGAAAATGCCTGAATTTTCCTTTCAGATATATTTATAGCCAATCTTCAAATAAGATTTTTCCTAGACTGAAAATTTGTACTCTAAATTTAATTTTTTTTAAGGAAAATAAAATGCTTTTTCTGGAATTATAACATCTGCTAAAGTCAGTTTATACTGGAAGTGCTGACATAACTTTAAGAGTAGCAATTGCAAAAGTGCTACTAAAATGTATTATTACAGATGTATTTTTATATTAGTTAACTGGTGCACCAACCCCTCTGAAATAGTCTTAAAGAAGAAGCTTGAAAAATAACACCTTGAGTCCATGATACATTTTGGGGAAAACAAAACAAACTTTCAAAACCTCCAAATTAGCACAAAAACTAGAACACCAAGATTTCCACAGCAAAGTCATAGGATGAAGCCTCCCACTCAGCAGTGACATAAAAGTAATTCCTGAAACTTTGAGATGTCAATAAAAAATAAGGTACAATAAGTAGAGGTGAAGAAAGACTTGTAACTAAGAATAACCAATTAAAACTCTTGCATGGCTTTGATATGGCAATTATAAACTGTAGGGTTACCACAAAATTAGAAATTATAGAATACTATAGTAGCTCTTAATATAACACTGTATTTTTATGGTTTAATAAGCTAGTAAGATTTGATCCTTTTATTGTACTATTTAATATTCAGTTATCCAATGGGCAATTAAGATCTATTTATAGATTTATAAATATATTTATATTATGCTTAAGGTCAATTTCTGTTTCTGTGGTAACTGCCCTACAGTTAAGATTAGAAGTTTTTAATGAAGTTGGAATGGAATTCTGTTTTGGGAACTTGTGAAATAGAAATTCACACTGCCACTACTAAGTATGTATCTTTTCTCAGGATTATGTTGTAGTGCAATGTAATTCTCAGTTATAGTATTTAAAAGGTCAGATGTCATATTTTGTGCTGATTTTCATACTTCAATAGTCTGGAGCAGTTGAAGCAGCTAAACTATTTAGCTCTGGGAATGGTAGAATTCCCCTAAGAATTATAGTGATCTATGTATAACATAACATCGGAATCTGACTCCTCGAAGTATAAACTACTAGAGGTATTACTAACAACAAAGGGCCAAAAAAGAGGAAAAACTTCTTCAAATGATTATGGACCAGTACTTCTAGCCAATTTATGATTTTAAATTTTGCCTGATGGAGTTCAAATTCACTCTAGTCGAGGCATTCTTGTTCTTCACCACTGGCCCTTCTGCCATCCATTCTCTTTTCTTTATGGCTGTTGCAAATTTTTCTCATCTCTTCTTCATACTTGATAAAATTTTCCCCAAACCTTGTCCACGCTTTGAATGGAACAGTAATAGTATTACGGTAAGGTGGCCTCACCTCACTTACCTTCAGGAAAATGCCATATTTATTAGAGCCCACATCAAAGTAGAACCTTTTATTGTCCACTCTGAAAGAAGTCCCCTCTGGGAGCTCAACGGGGTCGCCGTCCCCACCTCTTGCTTCTTCTATGTCCCCTTCGCCATAGTCTTCAATTAGCTGAACCAAGGCATCACGAAACTCAATCATGCCTTGTGCTGGGAGGACAATGGTCTGTTCCTGGCCTAAAGTGTGGCCAAAATACCCTATCATGCCAGTGCCACGCATCATGGTTTGTCTAATCCTCAGGAAGCGACCCCGCTGATTTTCCTTCAGGTCTAGATAGTATTTCCTATTGTCCCTTTCTATATAGTCCGTTTTGAGGACACTGTGAGGGTGTTCTTCGGACCCCACCGAGACAGGTGGGGAGGGTGCCGCGTCCTTCTGTCGTCTCCTGGAGCCTTGCTCTTTGCTGTGACCATGCTCCTGCCGGTGGCCTTTCAGGCCCAGGTGGGCGTAGTGCTCAATGAAGTCCCCTAGACAGTCCTTCAGCTCCGCCGCCACCGACAGGGAGAGGGTCAGTTTACTCTTTCGGATATTGTCCTGCCGGCCTCTCCCTATCCAGACTTCGGCTATCTTTAGAAATCGGCCCCGGGAGCTTTGCTTTACGTCCAGGTAAAACCTCTTTTTCTGGATGTCCACTCGCTTGGAGGCTAGCTCCTGGATTTCGGCTGCGCCTCCGGCCTGACTAGGGGTGGCTGAAGCCCCGTAGTGGGGGTAATGGGAGTGCTGGGCCTGGGGATAGAGTCTACTCTTGCTTAGGCCAGAGCCCCCTACATTCTTGCCTCCGCGGCCGCGGCCGCCGCCGCCGCCTCCCCTTCGCCTGGCTCTTTCCATCTTCAGCTGCAAGTGACAAACAGACACACGGGTGGGGGAGAGGGCTGTTGAGAACAATCGCAGACGCCCCTCGGCCGGCGCTGTTCCCGCCGCCGCCCGGGACCCCCACACC